GTCGTGAAGACGCTGTGTGCTTCGTTGTGAAAGCGAAACTACTTTGTTTGGTCTTCCAAAAGAGGACGATATCCGCTTCGTCATGCCTGGAGCTGATCCGTGCTGGTCGCTGAGGGAATACATCAACTTTCACCGTGGACAAAGCGGAGTCCAGCCCGCCTCAGCTCACTCTATCCCGGCCTCAGCGCACGCTAAGCCAGGGCTTCCCCTCACGCTAGGCCACTGTGTTTTTTGTCGCCACTGATGATTCAAACGCGAGCTTTGGGCAGTAGAGTAGCACTTGTTGTTTGTCATTTCTCCGATCACAAATGCAGACAGTTTTATGTTTACGTGGCGCGATGCAATGCAACGCAACGCAACGCAACGCAACGCATAAAAAGACAGTATAAATCATTATAAAAAAACGTGTAAAAAGAATTGACGCGTTTCAGAAAGGCGGGGCATAGAGGAGAAACAATAATGTACAGTATGTGGAAAATAATGTGTTTTTTGAACTTTAAACCGCATAAACACATTTCATTACACCAAATACACAAAATAATGTTCTTTTTAGCAGCATCATATGACCCCTTTAAGACCCTAAAGAATCATATCAACTTGTGGAAAATGGGCATCATATGACCCCTTTAAAGGTGCAGTATGTAATATTGACAGCTAGCGGTTGAAATGGGTACTGCAGTCCAAATTCCTCAGACTCAATGCTCACATGGGTTACCAGATTGAGGATAAGTTGATAATTTGATGCCTCTGGTCATAGAGCTTTTAAGATGGATGCTGAGGCTTTGTAAGACCGGTAGAATCTGTGATCTCTGCCCCAGTTCATTTGCTGCCTTCCATGGCTGCAATGTGCTATGTTACTCGCAAACTGGCAACCCGGGGTGTCAAAATACTATTGGGTAAACGGGCAGTGCATGGAATCACACAGACCAAAACAAACCGAGTCCCAGCATGGGCACCAGGAGGGCATAGTTCCACTTGCTGCTGTCACCACCACCCTGCCTCTCTGGTATTGCCATTGACTCAATTCTGATCTTGTTTAGTTTAACATATTAAATCTTAATGACATAAATTAATTATTTGAATAGCATACTTAAACACTTAACAGATTAAGTTAGGGATGCACCGATATGAAAATTTTGGCCGATACCGATATGGTGGCCGATATATCGTGCATCCCTAGATTAAGTCATACAACTGATATTAAATATCAGTAGTAAAACGCAGAGAGTAATGCAAAGTTAGTTTAAGTGGCAGATCAGGTCAAACACTGGAAAAGAGAAAAAATCGGTTAGATAATAACACCATCTCAATGACTTTGTTTGGCGGTTGCATGAAGGAAGAAAGTCATCAAAAGCAGCTTTTCAGCAAAATGTTCAAGCAGGTGTGATAGCTTTATATTTACATGACCCAACTCTTATATATAAATATTTTTTTTATCTTTACACCCAAATTTTTGAAGGCCCTGTTATAATACAGTATGTAAGATTCAATTCTTTTAGGCCATCATGTAATATGTACGATTAACTTGAATTATTTATTCAGCACAGGTTAAACTGGTTCTGCAAATGCAAAGCTTTTTTAAATTCCCACCCCCATTGAAGACATTTTATTCGTTAAAAATGTTTTGCTGTGCATTGCTTACAGGGCCGTCCTTAGGGAAGTGCAACTGATGTGGCCGCACCGGGCCCCGTGCTTGAGGAGGCCCCGCAGTGAACAGAACCCCCCCCATTCATTTCAATGTTGTTGTCTCTGTGACAAATTGCTTATGTTCCTTTGTTTTGTGTTTACTAGAGAAAGAAATATTATGCATTATGGACTCATATTTTAGCCTGAAGCAATGGTTTGAAGTTGAAGTTTGTTTCTTACAAACACGCAGCTTTTCTCTTCATTAGATGTTAACTGGTGGACTGGAGTGGTGTGGATTACTTGTGGATTATTGTGATGTTTTTATCAGCTGTTTGGACTCTCATTCTGACGGCACCCATTCACTGCAGAGCATCCATTGGTGAGCAAGTGATGTAAAATTACATTTTTAAAGCTAAATTTCTCCAAATCTGTTCTGATGAACAAACACACTCATCTACATCTTTTCATTTCTGGGTAAACTACTCCTTTAAGTTGCTCTTCCCATGAAGAAAAGAACATTACAAAATTGAATCTCATTAACTTTATTGAAAATGAGATCTTTTACAATACATAATTTTAGTGATATAGATTCATTTCTGATCTCCCAGTGTCACTTTTTTGTCTGAATGCCGAGTATAGCCGCCTCAGCTCTCTGGTGTGACTGAAGAGTGAGCTGCAGCTGCCAGTATCTGAGATACAGCCACATCAGACTCCCGTTCCTGCGCTCATCTGTGTTGAGATACTCGGCACAACTGCGATCATTCTTAAAAATATCCCTGAGACCGTCCTCCATCTCCAAATGTGCAAGAAGGGGCTCTTTAGCCGTACGAACCAGAAGGTCCTTCTCCACCTCCACCCTCCTCACACGGGGCACCAAAATACTGCAAAAGGCCCTCTGCCGTTCCACCAGCCTGTACTCTACGTTCTTCAGAGCCAGTGAAGCCCCCCGCTCTCGCTCTTTCTCCTTTTCCAGGGCCTCGTGGAAGAGGGCGCCAGCAGGTCCTGCGTAACACAATTTGTTTCTTACAAACACGCAGCTTTTCTCTTCATTAGATGTTAACTGGTGGACTGGAGTGGTGTGGATTACTTGTGGATTATTGTGATGTTTTTATCAGCTGTTTGGACTCTCATTCTGACGGCACCCATTCACTGCAGAGCATCCATTGGTGAGCAAGTGATGTAAAATTACATTTTTAAAGCTAAATTTCTCCAAATCTGTTCTGATGAACAAACACACTCATCTACATCTTTTCATTTCTGGGTAAACTACTCCTTTAAGTTGCTCTTCCCATGAAGAAAAGAACATTACAAAATTGAATCTCATTAACTTTATTGAAAATGAGATCTTTTACAATACATAATTTTAGTGATATAGATTCATTTCTGATCTCCCAGTGTCACTTTTTTGTCTGAATGCCGAGTATAGCCGCCTCGGCTCTCTGGTGTGACTGAAGAGTGAGCTGCAGCTGCCAGTATCTGAGATACAGCCACATCAGACTCCCGTTCCTGCGCTCATCTGTGTTGAGATACTCGGCACAACTGCGATCATTTAAAAAATATCCCTGAGACCATCCTCCATCTCCAGATGTGCAAGAAGGGGCTCTTTAGCCGTACGAACCAGAAGGTCCTTCTCCACCTCCACCCTCCTCACACGGGGCACCAAAATACTGCAAAAGGCCCTCTGCCGTTCCACCAGCCTGTACTCTACGTTCTTCAGAGCCAGTGAAGCCCCCCGCTCTCGCTCTTTCTCCTTTTCCAGGGCCTCGTGGAAGAGGGCGCCAGCAGGTCCTGCGTAACGCAATCTAGATTTTTCGTTTTCTAGAGCGTCACGTTCCAACCTCATGCCTCGACGTTCCTCCCCGAGCTGCCGACTCTGGGAAGCCAGGGCTTGACGGTAGCCAAGCACCCGCTGCTTTTCTTTCTCTAGATCAAGCTCGAGCTGAGCTGTTTCTCTGTGGTTTTCAGAGAGCGTCTGTCGGTATTTCACATCCAGGTCCTTCTGGATAGTCTCTATGGTCTTTTCGTATTTGACCTTGGCCTCCTCGATTTCCTTTTGAGACTCTTTGGACCAGATCCATCCTAAAACATAACACAAGACAAATAAAAATAAAATATGAAATGCAATTGATCACGATTTACATGCTACTGAAGCAATAGCGTTGTGTAGTACATACGAAAGGCAGCGAGTCCCAGCATGGGCACCAGGAAGGCATAGTTCCACTTGCTGCCGTCACCACCACCACCCTGCCTCTCTGGCCTTATATTCCAGTCCTGAGGATCATTCAGGTTATTCATGTGGACTGCAGCTGGAAAATAAATGCATACTTCTATATCAAGCATTTGACCAATATGATATAAAAAGGGAAAGGCAACTGTAAATTCTGACATTAAATGCCTGAAAAAAGCAACTGCCTAATTTTAATTTATAGTGATGCATTACTATCCTTATGCAAACTGAGAGTTGCATTCTCATTCAATTCCTAACTAGAAACTAGAAATAGTTGAAATATGACACTTCCTGTTTCCACGACAAATGCATACGCGATTTGGCTAGTAACTATTATTTTAACAAAGAATATTTACCATTAGTCATGCAAGCACAATACATGTTGGCAATACAATAACACATCAAATGTCCATGTTACCTTGCAAGTATTCAAAGCACTCGTCCTTTATCAAATAGAGTCAAATAGTCGCTTACACTTACAGCATACATAGGTAGGGCTGAAGCCTGCGTCAGTGTTCTTGGACAAACAATATCGCTTATTTATAAGTGTGAGGGTTATATTCTATACAGTGGCATTTACAGTAAATAACTCCACCCAGCTTCAAAGCATGTTTGCGTTTGTTTTTTGGGACAACGCTCACCGACAAATCCCCCCCACTGTGGACAACATTGGTACGGTCCTCACCGAAGCTGCGAAACCGGCTTGCGATTCATTTGAATCGAATTGTTCGGATCTTTTCAATCAGCTGGTTGAGCCTGATAGCTTTGAACGTTTGCATTTGGCCTACATGTATTCACACAACTATCTTTATTTTCAATTACGTGTTAAATTAAGTGGCAAATGCTTAAATATTTGATTTATACAAATGACTATATTGTTTAATTTTTCGTTTATAGTTAGCCTACTATTAATTAATTGATCAAGTGAACGAAATGCATGCCCTGTTTATTTTAGCCTAAGCATTTATATACATATTTTACGTTAATATCGTTTGTGTGTGCTTGGTATAATAACTTGGAAACCCGAATAAGCTGAGAACGAAAGTAAGATTTGTTTAAGTGAACCGAGGATTTGGTTGATGGTGCGAAAAGATCCATGCCTGTTTTTATGAGCTGAATCATTGCTACAACAAACTGACCTACATATGCGATTACGATAAACAACTTTGAACTAAAACCTAGTCGAGTCAATACGCCGCGCCGTGAAGCCGAGGGAAATAATCACTGAATCATTTAAACTGTTCGAAGGAACCGATTCGTTTAAATGAGTCGGCCTTCGCCTTCACAAGCGCTTGCGTATTCATCAGTCAGAAATAGAGCAAGATGGCTGCGGTGTGCGCTGCCTCCCGTGTCCTCGGAAGAAAGATTGTGTCATCTAAAGCTGTAAGTCCTCTCATAAACGTTGCATACTTTGTATTTTAATGGCATTCGGCCAGTGTAGGCCGACAGTTGAACTGCTTTATACTCGAATGTCGCTATATTGTAGCCTGTTGTGTGCTGTTTTGTAACCATCATCTGCTGTGTTAAGTAACGCTGTTACATAGTATCAGTACCTCTGTTACATGAGTGTACGTTTTATGTGATGCTGTTTTATTAACAGAGCTTGCCTTTTAGCAATAATGCTTGAGGGTTTTTCCACCTAATGTATTGTGACATTTCATAGAAGTAAAGTTTAGATAGTTTGTATACAGTAATCCATTGAAGGTCAAGCAGGCAGCATTAGCCGTGTGATGCTGATGCTGAATGCTCATGCCTTAGATATTATCACTTTTTAAGTATCTGGATGCATGATTTTTATGCATCCAGATGATCTCCGAACCTATAGTGTATTTGTCTATTACAATGAAGCAATAACCAGACGTCTCACTGTTATGTCACCAGAAAAGACCAGAATGCATTTGATTGTTTGTCAATATCAGTGTTGGGGAGAGTTACTTTTAAAAGTAATGCATTACGATATTGCGTTACTCCATAAAAAAGTAACTAATTACGGTACTTAGTTACTTTTTATGGAAAGTAATGCATTGCGTTACGTTACTTTTGCGTTACTTTTTAAATCTGGACAGGGCTTGCCTGTTTTTAAAATAAAAAAGTTATATTTTTGGCAAATATAAAAGCGTAAATTTACGTCCGTAGAATGCAGAAGAAGAAATTCAACACACTTCAGCAATAAAAAAAAGACACACAAATGTTTGTCTAGAGTAATTTGCGCTTATTAAGGTTGAAC